CGGGTTTCAATATCGTTTTTAACCTATTTTAATACTATATTTTTTTTTAAAAAAATCATTTTTAGTTTCCTTGAACGCCTACGAAGGGGGTTATTAAACAAACAAGTCATAACCCTGTTCAGTGTAATAAACCAAAATAAATAACTCTTGGATATGTATCTAGCAAAAGACAGTTCACCACCTCATTTCATAAATGGTTGAATTACTGTTATTAGGATGATTTCTCTAACTTTGAACTAAAATCTGACTCTCTGATATTTAAAATTATTATTCTGTATCCTGCATTTTGGAATAACAGGAAACAACTTTTATTTTTCTATTATTTGATATTACTTCAGTGCTTGAGTTTTTTTAATTTTTTTAGTTAATATTCTCAAGTCTAAATATTATCTAACTGAAATATTACATCTTTACTTTCATTTTTGCTGCACTTCTAGTTTATCTGATACTTTCTTAAAACGTGGTACACTGAAACATAATTGAGTGTCGCTAATGGGAATTAGTTCTTCCTGTCTCTGTAATTATTTTTTTAGTTATTTTTTTTTACAAATATGAAAAGCTTCATGAATTTTCATGTCATCTTTGCTCAGAGGTCATGCTAATCTTCTCTGTATCGTTCCAGTTTTAGTACATTTGATGCTGAAGGGAGCATCATTTTTTAAAAAAATGTTATCTAGCCTATCAAAATCATTTTGAATTGCCTTGTCTGTTTTATGAAACTTTAGCCATCCCACCTATTTTGAGTCACCTGCAAAGCTGGTAAACATTTCCCCTGCTTCTATTTTATTTGCTAATGAAATTGTGTCAAGCAAGCCTCCTTCAGCAACCAAGAAAGAAACCACTTAACTTCATTTGTAGAATTAAAAGTACTTTTACTGGTTATAAAAAGATAGCTGCGAAGTAAAGCAAGGTCTAAGGCCGAAACGCGTGAAAGCATACATATCAAATATTTGCCCATCCCCCTCCCCCCAACAACTCCCAATCCATTGCCCAATCTGCAAATCCCTTAGGTGTCATGTGGGTGCATCGCCAAGAAGTATCATCAGGTTGGAATGCAAGACGGTTGACCTTCACCAACTCCAAACATCGGCCATCAGCATGCGCAGAAGATGGTGAGAACAAAACTCACTTTTTAACTAACCTCCTGTACCAATTATTTCCCATCCCAAATACCATGCTCCCCCCATTTCTATGGCAGCCGAAAGCAAGTAGCAAAGCATAGGCTGACACCTTGAGGCATTCCACTCCAATCTGACGAGTTTTCAAGCCAACTATGGAACTATTCAACTCAGTAGTTTGCAAAATCAGAACGCCATGGTTATCCCCAAAATGCTTTCTGAAGTCAAAATATATTGCCACAGTAGAAGAAAATGTCCTAATTAAAAAATGAAATCAGATTGTAGTAAGACTTTTTCTTTAAAAATTCACATTGTCTTCTGATTGTGATCACATTATGTTCAAGATACTTAGACATTTAACATTTTATGATCTACTCTGGAATTTTCTAGTACCTATCCAGGAATTGGTGTTGTCCCATATTTGCTTTCTCCCTACCTTTTTAAAAATAGGGACATTTGTTGTCCTACACTTTAGAAGCACTTTATCTATTTTTTAGAATTTCTTAAAGACAATATTATCAACATGGTGAGAAAGTGTTTTGTAAAAGAGCTAGATTTTACAGCAGGGGTCTCCAACCTTGACAACTTTAAGGCTTCTGGACAGGAACTGCAGAATTCCTCACCAAGTCAAATTTGGAAGGTTGGAGACTCCTGCTTTATAGAGTTTGACTTTCAACAAATATTGTGAAAGTTGAACTCCCCCATAATTACTTCTTGGAAAGACCTGCAATTTGCTTTTGGAGGATGTCAGCCACATACTCACCTTGATGGGTGGCTCGGGTGAATAAAAGGTGAAAAATAAATTGATAAAATAAATACATTTTGGGAAGACCTTTTTTAAAAAGAAGGCCCAAATTACTTAGAAAGAGATACTTGGTTATAAATATTTTATTGCTGGGGAAAAAAATCAATAAATTTGTTAATGGTACTTAACTTAAAGAGTATTCAAAAGTTCCTGATTTCTGCTCATGGATATTTCCTTTTTAAAAATCTAGTATGTCTTTTCATTTTAAAATATTGCAATGCAATTTTTTTATTCTGCGAATCTTTTAAAAAATTACTATTTAATCCAAATGTCTTTAGCAGCCAGATCCTATATACTACTAGATAACTTAGAAAATTATAGGATTTACTGCAAGAAACTCAGCATTATAGTACTATAAGAATGCATTAAGATGAATAATTAGAAAATGCAAGGCTATGTCAAAGAATATCCACCAAATGATAGTTCAAAGCTACAAAGCTACTTTCTTGGGTGTTGGTTCCCACTTATGTTGCCTTTCCAGTCCACTTCATTTTTCATTTTATTAAAAAGAAAGCTTCAATAAGTTTTGAACTTAGTTTTTGATTTTGAGTGACAAAATTCTAGCCCAGTGTTTCTCAACCTTGGCAACTTGAAGATGTCCGGACTTCAACTCCCAGAATTCCCCAGCCAGTATTCGCTGGCTAGGGAATTCTGGGACTTGAAGTCCGGACATCTTCAAGTTGCCAAGGTTGAGAAACACTGTTCTAGCCTAATAACAACTTTGTTTTATATTGCCTTTTCCATAATGTAATTCACTTTCTTGTTCTTTTCACTTTTATAGTTTTAATAGTCTTAGAAGTTTCCTATGCTGATTAGGGATTACAAACAAATTTGGTACTGCTAAATTTTGGGTTGATAGATTGTTTTCCTTGATATTGCCAAAGCTTGGGAAAGGATCAGATTAGATCCATCAAAAATTGATGCTGGTTATCAAGAAATATCCAAATTAAACATACAATTATCAGAAAAAAGAGAGAGTTCCAGATATTTTAAACTGATAATTACCCAATAATAAATTATTTCTTGTTAGATAGTTGTAATTTATGAAAATTTTAATATAAGAAGTAATTGTGATAAAGAAAAAAGATCTAAAGAATGTTAGGAGCAAGAGTGATATTTTCCACATTAGTAATAGCACTTAGACTTATATATCGCTTCACAGTACTCTACAACCCTCTATAAGTGGTTTACCGAGTCAGCATATTGCCCCTAATATGTTGGGTCCTCATTTTACTGACCTTGGAAGGATGGAAGAATCTGATTGCTTGCCTTCTGGGGAGAATGTATAATACAAGATATTGAAACAATGTAGATTTACACATAGTTTAAACACAGAGATTATCCATGAGTCAATTGCAAATTTTCGCGGCTATAAATTAAAAAACTATTAACATCATGGCTTGCACATGCCTATCTCACTGATTTATATTTATGCAACTTGTTCATTTATAGTTTTTTTAAAATCTCCTTAAAGTTAAGCAATGAAAAATGCAATGGTGTAGTAGTTAATGTGGTGGTCTAGAACAGTGGTCACAAACCTTTCAGACCTCAGGGACCAATAAATTCATAATTTTAAATCCTGTGGACCATTAATACTATCTGCCTAATAACTGGCTGAGTGGACGAGGCTAGGTGGTCATGTGACTGAGTGGGCGTGGCCAACTCAATGTCATTCACATCGAGGGGCACCCTGCCAGTCTCTATTTGCCTCTCCCAGCCACTCCTCGCCTCCCCCGCATGGGTTCCTTAGGTCCCCAATAGGAAGCAGTTGCTGGAGCTAAGCATCCGCGAGGAGAAAGAGTTGGCAAAATAGCTGGCTCAGTTCAAATTAGATCCTACCGAGAAGGAGGCTCAGTAGAAGCACCTCTTTGAGGACTACGAGCATAGGCTTTCCAAGCAGAGGAAAGATCTGTGGGAGTGCAAGGCCAGGTACTGGTGCCTGGAGGCTTGGTGGGCTGAGATGGTCAGCCAGTTCCAAGCCATGATGCAGTCCCACTGGAACAAGGTCCTTTGGCTTTTCACCACCAGTGGCTCTTCCCTCCAGCCTTCGCCCAAAGCCCCACACCAGGAGGATGAAGCAGACCCCAAGTCATAATTTCTGCCTCCCTCTGACCTGCACAAAAAGACCCCAACACAAATGTTTATTACATGTATTCATTCTAGGGCTGTAGTTTGAGGATCCCTGATTTAGTGTAATGTAAAAAATGCAAATATTTTTTCTGCAGAACACCAAAATTTTCTCACAGACCACCAGTGGTCCATGGACCACAAGTTGTTGATCGCTGGTCTAGAAAGCAGAATATTTTAGTTCTAGTTTTACCTTTGTCTTGAAAACCGGTTGGGTAACTTTGGGTTGGTTACTACAGAGGTGAGTTCCTACCAGTTCACACCAGTTCGGTAGAACCAGTTCGTCAAATCTACCGAACCGGTTAGAAGAGGTTCCACCAGAAAGCAGGCCACACCTACAGAAGATGTTTCAATTTTTTTTAAACCCACCACTGACACACACACACACACTCACACAGAGAGAGAAAGAGAAAGGAAGGAAGAAAGAAAAAAAGAAAGAAAAAGTGAGAGAGAGATGAAAGAAAAAAAGGAAAAAGGGACAGAGAGACAAAAGGAAGGAGAGAGAGAGAGAGAGAGAGAGAGAGAGAACACATGGCCGGCAAGCCACTCCCATCAGGCCACATGGCTGGCAAGCCACTCCCACAAGGGAGGCCACACCCACAGAGTAGGTTCAAAAAAAAATTGAAACCCATCTCTGGGTTACTATCTCTCTCGGGCAATTCACCTCACAGGATTGTTATTGTGGAAAAATAGGTGAAAAGAGAACTGGATGTTTGTCATCTTGAGTTGCATATGACAAGGAAGGATAAAGTATTTTTTTAAATGTGCAGGAATTGCTCTATCTTAAAATAAAATATTTTCCATAATAAAGCAATACATTAATAAAAGTCCAACAGACATTTCTTTTCCAATTATTTTTGTATCTGAATGGGAAAGAATCTCTACATGTGAAAGTTTAATACTCTACATTTGTGCTGAAGATTTGTTAATAATAGTTTGAAAAGCATAACTGAAAAATGAAACTTTTTTTATTATTCAACTCAAGTTATGGGTGAATGGACCATTTTACAATAATATTACAATTTAAAACAAAACTATAAAAAGATGCTTAATGTAATTTAAATGTGTTTTTGAAACACTGATGGAACATTTCTTTGCAGATTTATTTTTTAATCCCAGTCTCATACACACACAGTCTCACTAAATTCTGGTAAATATATTTTTACAAACACATTAGGTGAGTAATTGCTAATCATGTAATTTTCAAAACAACAGTTATTTATGTTTGGAATTTCAAGACCTTTCCTTGATTTACAGTTTCAGTAGAATGAATTGTTCTTCTTTCAAAGCATTGTGAAAAGAGAATAAGCATATAGTTAACATCTCAATAATATTCACAGAAGAATCCATAGTATGTAAAATTGATTGTGTTTATTGCTGCCTCCTAAACGTGTCTTTTGTCTGCACCTGCACATGTGAGCATAGCACATTCTTTCGACTACACCTCCAGAAACTGCATTTCAATGTACAAATGGGGGACTGAAGGCAATATTTTTGAGATTATTGCCATATCACCCACAATAGTTTGATTTCAGACAATTCTACTGTCTATGAAATGATTTAAAGAAGTAGAACACATGTTAAGACTGTTAGAATTTTGAATAAGAAACAGTAAAGAATGGGATGCATATTTCTTAGCAAAATTTAGGAGCCATCGATATTTTTTGGAATCCAGATAGGATACATCATCTTCTTGACCTTTAAAATAATCCACAAGATTCTAACCAATGTCCATGTTTATTAAGTGGGGTTTTTTTTGTCCCCCTGCATAAGAACATAAAGCAAGTTCTATAAAGATCATAGTGTGCATTTTATGATTATGGAACACTTAAATCAGATTACTAAGTACCTGTAGGGAAAAATAAATGTCGATAAAGCCCTCATTTTAGCTTGACAAAATTAAAATTAAGCACTCAGAGGGTTAATTTATGCTAAATTACGCATAATAGCTCCTACCTCAATTGATGAAAACATTCATTGCTGTTATCCCCATTTGAAAATTATATATATATTTATATTTATATGTACTGTATATCTCAAAATAGCCTTAACCCTTTGAGGATCATATTAGCAGCAAATCACAATCTAGACTAGGCTTCCCCAATCTGGTACTCTTCAAATGTGAAATAGGAATGCTTGGAAATTCTGGAAGGACAGTCCCACCACATTTGTGGGTGTCAGGCTGCAGAAGGCTAGTCTAGACAGAAAACAAATACCATCTCAATCATATAGGAAACAATTGTAATAAAGATACCATAAAACTCCTTTTTGGCATCTTTGTCAAGGAACTGATACAGACAAAAATCAAATGGAAAAATTGTACATGGTTTCAAGAATTGTTGTCAAAATCTCAAAGGGTTAAGTCAAGACTTTCAACAGAAGAGATGTATTAAAAGGGTGAATTGGGTGAGCGAACAGTCTCAGATGAACTTGGTGAATAGTCTTCTGATTCAGAGTTGAGTTCAGGAGGTGGTGGCTGTGGCTTAAAACGTCCCCTCACATCCGGGTTGCGTCTTCGTCGGAAAACCTGCCTCTCCTTATCAAGAGCGGTGGTCTGGCAGGGGCATAAAATGAGAATAGATGAGATTAGGCTGTGCATGAAATAGCAAATCTGACTCTCATTTTTCCTCTTTTTCAAAGCAAACCTCAACCCAGGTCAAATTAACCCCACCCCACCCTCCACAACCACCAGGTTTGGCTAGTTTTGCAAGCTTTAATCCATTACATGACTCAATTCATATCAAAGTGCATAATCCAACCTATAAAGAGGCAGTGTGATCTCATCAAGCATGTACAGTATGAGTGCATGTCTCTGAATGGATGCCATATGTTAGACTTCTGGAAGCTATTATTATTATTTTTTTGAATAATGGGTTCAGGTTTCAGACAAAATGCAGTCTAACCTGCTTTTTCAAATAAGGTCTCGGTTCTGAATAGAAATTCAATGCAATTTAATCAAATGAGAGAGGTAAATATTTGCCAATGTTCAAAATAATGAAAGTATCCATCAATACACACTGCTACAAATATTGGATTTTGATAGAACAATCAGACAAGAGAGAGATATTCTCAACATGCTTACTCTTTCTCTCACTTCATGCCCTCCCTACTCCTCTACTATTCCTCTTTTCCCTTTAACTTAGGCACTTGCTCACACACTACAAAAGCACACAGACCACTTCTCCTTCCCATAAGTTCGCACTAAGATTTCCTGTTGCTCTTTTTATACCTTTTCCAGCCAAACTATTCTTCCCATTCTCTTCAGATCATATTGGCCATTTCTCAGTGTGAATTAAATTGCCACCAAATTCCAGGGTGAGCTGGAATTTCTTGGGTGACAGGTTTAGTACGCATTTTCTAGATTATTCCAGCTAGATTTTCCTCACCACAACCTAGTTCCTATTTAGACACAGAGAGACTTTTGGAAAGACTTAAACTTTATGTACATAAATTCAAGTAATTATTTAATAACCTGATGTAACATTGGACTTAACAAGCATGTTTTTAACTTTCAGAGTCAGTCCAAGTTTTATTAGTTTGGGATCTCTTTAAACATTATGTAAATTTCCTGCAGTTCCTGGAAATAGGCCTGAAAGTTAGTCTCTAAACTATAAATACTCACTATAGTAAACCAGATTCAAACTACTGGAAAAACCCAATAAAGCTAAGTGTTGTCAGAGATGTTGGAAATACTATTATGATGAGCTGATATGAATAAGATTTTATTATACTTCAAAACATATCATCAGTTCTTCTTGAGACATTTACAATTGTTTTTTTGTTGTTGAAAATCAACCAGTTATATAGTGACCCAGAAACACAGTTATACCCAGAGCATTTTTGATAAGAAGATTAAAACTAAATCTATCGGATTAATGCAGGTTAGTATTACAGCCCTCTATGTTTTAAAATAATGCAATCAAGTCCCAAAATGTAATAAAAGCAGAAGATGGCCAAAGTTTATAAAGCAAGTGGATTCAGTTAAGCTAAATTGTTCCACTAATAGTTTTATAGTTAGAATATTTAAAGGACTGATAGAAAGTGGCAATAAAAGTTCATCTTTGGATCTTGGGGAGAAAAGACAATACTAAACTCCAACCGCTATCGTTTGCCAAAAGTTCTTTGTTTACAGTTGGCCCTTGGAAAAGGCCTAAACGGTTTTCAAAGTTGTGCTTTAAAACCAACTTTATGATTATATTTTAATAGAAAGCAGAAGACATTTGGAATCATATTCACATTACAGAGATAGAATTTACAGTATATAATTCTCTGTAACAAATGGAGAGAATGGCATACATTACTATTCTATGACATACAGATTTGCATTTAAAATATTTCTGAACACAAAAGGAGTTCATTTAAAGATTGACTCACATCACATCATTTTTATATTAATCCCAGATTCATGAAAAATTCTTTCTTTCGGCAGGAAAGTCTAAATTAAAATCTCCAGTACAATCCAGAACAACACTCTCCTGGTGCAAGGATAAGCAACTTTTGTTTTGATTTTAAGGATGAATTAATCCTCATATTTCTATGTGATTGAAGTTCATATTGTTTAAATCAAAATCTTTTGCTCTTATGTCTAATCCAACCATTTGCTCTTCTAGCTATACAGATCAACAAGGAACCTACATGTGAGAACTATAGCAAAATCATGCTCTGTGACACATCCATAAGGCAGGAGTTTAATTAGTATATTAGTAGTAATACATTAGCAAAAAATTATAAGGGTCCCTATTTAGCATTCTTTTGACTTATAACGAGAAGTTTTCTATTTTCTAAAACAAAGGTTGGGATGGTACAGAATATTATGTATGATGCGTTGGGAGATATTAGAAGAGATGATATGGAGCAATTACCAATTTCCTTTGGTGCTATTAGCTTAAAAGGTTGTTCATTCCTGTATAAATCTTAATAAACTAAGTTGAAAGTTGATCCTGTATTGACCAATCACATAAGTGGCAGGCTTTCATGGAAGTGACAGCTATTAAAGTAGATATTTAAACTTCAGATCCGCCTCCTATCTTTCTATCTTTGCAAATCATACTTCTTTCCAAGACATACACCATTTCATATGCTGCCATTTATCTTGAAACTTCTCATCTAGTTTGAGGATGGATTTCTTTTTTACCTTTTCTCTTCCCTGAGGCCTATTCACTCTTTATTCATATATTTGTTTTGCAACTTTATTTTCATTCATTCTGTCTTACTTAACAAATATACTTCAACATTCTAACTGTATACTAATAATTCATATTTATTTTCAATCTGCATTCATTTAGCAGGTTTAACCTTACTTTTTGCATTTTTCAACTGACAGATTAGTTACCCCATTCTGATAATATCCAATGTTTATCCTGATATAGCCAATTCTCACTTCTGCACAATAACACAGCATCTTATTTATAGTCATTTTTGCTTCTATCACCTAGCATTTGGTCCATGCAATAATTCCAGTGGTGGGTTTCCATTTTTTTTACTACTGGTTTGCTTGTGTGTGCGTGCGCAGAAGCAGGGCAGGTGGGCGGAGCCTCCTGCCACTACCACTACAGGTTCGCTGCTGAACCAGGAGCAACCCACCTCTGAACAATTCATACAATTGAAATATGAAATAACACATTGAAATATGCGTTTTTTTCTGCAAGCATCTGGATGTTTCAACATTTTTCTATTTTTTTCTACATTCTACCAAAATACATATCATTCTACAATACAAATTCATTTACTTGCTCTAGTTTTTCCATAATTTATGAATAAAGTACTCCATTTTCCTGTTAAGTACAATCTTGTTGGTCTTTGATGACGTCTTCATTGAACTATACAAGTTGGCATTTTCTGTAAAATACAGTGTTCAGGTTTTCAGTTACCAACACAATATCATATAAATATATATAAAAGTACAGCCCTTTCAGTGAATCTACCTTCAATATCATCAAGAGTAATCCTTATATGATTATCCATGAATATATTTAACAACTTAAATGGCCTCATACATCCTTGTCAAGATGGTAAAAAAAACCTAATTACTAATTTGGATAGAAACTGAGGCAAGGAAGACTAGATTTAATTACCTGTCCTGTCATGTGACCTAATGGGTATGATCCAGGGGTGGGTTCCTGCCAGTTCTAACCTCTTCTATAGAAGAGGTTCCACAAATCTACAGTGCCGTTTAGAACCTGTTCCAGCTTCTTACCCCTGCCCGTCCGCACATCATCAAAATGAAGAGCGAGAAGAGGAATTTTGGGAGTTGAAGTGCACAAGTCTTAAAGCTGTCAAGTTTGAACACCCCTGGGGGTTTTTTCCTAAAGGGTTAGGGATGCAAGGGTCTTGTAACTTGACAGCTTTAAGACTTGCGTGCTTGAAATGCCAGAGTTTCTGAGCCAACATTTTGATTGCTAAGCACGAGCGTTGTTAAGTGAGTGTCACCACATTTTACAAGTTGGCCACACCCATCCAGTCACATGACTGCCAAACCACTCCCACCTGGTCACATGGCTGGCAAGCCACTCCCACAAAGCAAGCCACACCTATAGAAGAGGTTCTAAAAAATTTTGAAACCCACCACTGGTATGATCAGAACTAGGCTATGCATGCCACTTGTGGCACTAGTTTAAATTAAACCCTAAATGAATCTAGGCATATTTTCCTATGAGTCAATCATACACTAAACATGGACTAAAAGACCCAACATGCTAAACAAATTTATTTATCTTTCCACATAATTGCTGTGTATTTCAAGAAAAAATAGAGAACTAATAATTCCAAGTAACAATTCAAAGACAACTAAGAACCTTCTATTGATGCTCTCCAGCATCTAATTGACTTCGACTATTCTTGAAAATAATAAGCAGGGTCAAATCTGATCATTACTAGATATGACCGCCAATAAGTCCCAGGTCTCGAATAAGATAGTAGAAAAGCTGTTCCATTATTGTGAAAATATTCCTATAGACACCATAAACTGCAGTTGATTTTTTTTTCACTTGCTCGAGGTAAGACTTCCAGAATAAACAGAATATATTATTTTTAAAAGATTTGCACTGGTAATTAGTACCAAGCCCAATTTGTTACATTAATAAATTATAAATCCATGTCTTCAAGGGTAAGAATAATTGAACTCCTCAGTAAAAGGCAGGAAATAAATCTAACAAATGAATAATAGCATCCTAGAGTCTTTTGGAGTGGGGAGGCTATAATACATCTAATAAATAAATAAATACCTTTTTTTTACTCCACGGATGTTTCCATGCCAATTAATACTAAATGACCTGTAGTGGTACCTCAATACTTGACTGCTTTAAAACTCATTGAATTTGACTCTTGATACATTTTGACACAAAAATATTGTCCCAGTACTTGTTTGTTTGGTACTTGATGTGCTGCAAAAGGAAGAGGGAGATGCCTGTGGAGAACAGACAGAAAGTCAGCCATGCCAGGAAGATCATTGCAAAAGGAAGTGGGGGATGGCCACAAGACAGAGGTGGGTTGCTACTGGTTCACACCGGTTCAGGCAAACTGTTAGTGGAATGTTGGCTTGGGTCACAAACCAGC